ATGTGAGGGCTATTTGTATTTTATCCTTTGAAAAGCAAATTGTTTAAATTATTTTAATTACTTAAAGAAAAGTGTAGGATTATGGCTAAAAACTTTTAGGATGTTAGTTAAGGACAATCACTAATTCAGTGAGAGAGATTCTGTAGCAGTTTTCTCAGTCCTGGCTTCAGATTAGAATTGTTATCTGGGGAGCTCCAGAAAAAATAAATCAAGTATTAAATAAAAGACACAGACATTTGTATTATGGCCAGAATTAAGAACCACTGATCTATGACTAAGTGATAAATTTAAATTGGCCAACACTGGAAAGGATGGAGAGGGTGAGCTCTGTTTCAGATCCTGTGTCAGCTTTTATAGTGATAGTCTTGTATTGAGATTTTTATTCTTCCTTAGTTCTTATTGAGTCATTGGTATAGAGCAGGGGTGGGGAACATCCGGCCTGCAGACTGTATGGGGCCTGTGAAATCATTTGGTTTGGCCCTGCCAAGGCATTAGGGGTGAGTTATTTAAATGTTTGACCAAATATAGCAGACTCATTTTTAAGTTGATAATTTTGTATGGCTCAAGAATAATGTTATAAATATTCAAATGGTCCTTGGCAGAAAAAAGTTTCCCTACCCCTGGTCTAAAGGAAATCAAAAAACAAATTATACTTCCAACAGCTTTCTGTGTTTTATGATTACTAATGGCACAGGATTTTAAGATGGTGCTAGTTGAATTACAGTATCACTTTACTCTGATTTTTATTGAGAGACTATGTTCTAGAGAAAGTTATTTGCTTTACTAAAACAATATTCAGTTTATACTATGGAGGTATGAAACGAGTACAAAAGAATGATTTTTATCTTGAGGAAGAAAATTAAATTGCTTTCTCTGTTAATTCATATTTTATAAATATACTGTTTAATACTCTTTATATTTTTCACTAGAGGCCCGGTGCATGAAATTCATGCACAGAGGGGGCTGTCCCTCAACCCAGCATGCACCCTCTTCAATCTGGGATCCCTGTGGGATCAGGCCTAAACTGGCAGTTGGACATCCCTCTCACAATCCAGGACTGCTGGCTCCTAACTGCTCACCTGCCTGCCTGCCTGATTGCCCCTAACTGCTTCTGTTTGCCAGCCTGATTGCCCCCTAACTGCTCCCCTGCCGACCCTATCTCTCCCAACTGCCCTCCCTTGCCAGCCTGATCACCCACAACTGCCCTCCCCTGCCAGCCTGATTGCCCACAACTGCCCTGCTCCATTGTGACCTGCCTCCTCCACTGGGACCTACCTCCAGGTGGCGGAGACGCTGGGACCGGCCTCCTCTGCACCGTGCAGAGCCACAGGACTCTCAGGCCTCACCACGCAGAGTGGCCACCGGGCCCCGCCTCCGCTGTAGGCGCAGCCATCTTGTGGCGACGTTGTGCGAGGGTATCACGCGAGGGCGTGACACCACCTAGGCTTTCATTATATAGAATTACAGTGTATGATGTGTCATTAAAATAGAATTGGTGCCAGCATATTTCAGTTCTTAAAAATGTTGTTTCTGAGGACATTTGAATGGGAAGCAGTTCAACACAGGAGGGACTCTTAATAGATTAAAATTCATTATAAGATGGCAGGACTCATACATTTCCACTCCAGACTACATTGTATGCCATCCAAATGGGAAATTGTTTTATGATTCCTACTTGGAGTTTCTCTGCCATGGCTAAGGCACCTACATTATTCAAAATCACAGGAACTAAAACCACTGTTTTAACACTACATTTACAGCAAGTGGAAAATTACACAAGTTCAGCATTGCCATTTATATGCAGACCAAATAACATTAAACAGAGCAGATTCCACCAGAAATTGCAGGTTCATCAGACTTGTGAATAAAAACAAGCGTGGAAAAGTTATCTCTTTCATCCCACCTCACCCCCACTTCTCAGGAAGCTCCAAATCCCACCCTGCTGGGGCTGAGGAGACTTTGCCCTTTTGGAAAATCCTCGGGAGTGGACATGATGCAGTTCCCAGGCCCCTATTTCATCATCTTATAATGCTCTATCTGTGCTACCTACACATCAATTTTTATCCATATTCTCCAATTAAATGGAGATATAGAGGTCACTTAGGTCTATTTGAAAGAAATCCCAGAGATAATGTATGGGGAAAGCACTTAGGGAAACTGTAAATGCCATTCAGATATAGGGAATTCATGAAAATATCATGCCTTTATTTAAAAAAAAATATCATGCCTGAACATTTGGATTATGCTCATTCCTTCCTTTTGTTCTCTGGAATTCTGTGACCTGCCAGAGAAGAAAGTTGAAAACAATTCAGAATTGAGGAAGCACTAGATCATTTTTGTTTTTAAGTTAATCAGTGACTATTGTTAATTGAGGGGAACAGTTTACATTGGCAGTACATGAAACATCCTGCAGAAAACTCGCTGACCCTCTACCTCTTTTCCTTTTACTCTTCCCCCTTTCCTTTTGCGGAATGATCTGAGAACTGGCATAAAAAGTAGCTCTTTTTTTATTTACTCTATGCCATTTCTTGCTTTATGAATATTAAAATAAAGGTTGTACATTGCAGTGTGTATATGAATTTGACAATTTCTGTAATTCAAATTGGTACATTATAAGGTTTAAGTATTGTAGAGACTACAATGAGCCTGTAATTACAACAGAAGGTGAGAGTAAGTATGAAGCAGAATAAACTATACTTTTAGAAGGTGTATTCAACTTCAGTTTACATTTTGCAAAATTGATATGGGAAATTTAGTGCTCTTATCAGTAATCTGTGTCAGACCCTATATATTACAGTTACAAACAAAGTCAGTTCCTGAGGCAAAATGTATATAGCTACCATTCTAGTAAAAGCAATCTTTATTGGTTTCCAGGAACCATTTGAAAATTTATCTGCTATAATCACTGATTCTTGGCATGTGACAGACCTGCACAATCAATTGTTCTAATGCCCTTTCTTTGGGCAGATGGGTAAAAAGCTAAGCTATTCAGCACTGATACTTAGCGAATTTTTCCAGCTTGCCATGGATAGAGATTCCCACAACCTCTGTTAGCCCCATGCCAGGGTAGATTTCTAAAAGTTACCCTTTATATATAGCCTCAGTGTCTCCTACTTCAGTTTATCCTAGTTACTCTTCAGTTGATTCCCTACAGATTTTTGAAGGAAATACTCCACTAAATAATCCTATATAATAAAACTCTAATATGCAAATCGAACAAACAGCGGAATGACCGGTCACTATGACGTGTACTGACCACCAGGGGGCAGACGCTCAATGCAGGGGCTGCCCCCTGGTGGTCATTATGCTCCACAGCGCAGCAGTGGTGGCAGGAAACACTCGCGCCTCCAAGGCAGCGCTAAGGAGTGTCAAGCCAAGCGGTAAGGAGTGAGCAGGCAGGCTGTTAGGAGTGAGGGGTCCCAGATTGCAAGAGGGCGCAGGCCGGGCTGAGGGACCCTCCCCCATCATGAATTTCATGCATCGGGCCTCTAGTTATTTAATAAGCTTAAATAAAAATGGTAAGGCAAGAGGTCTTATCTATCTATATTTTGGAGGTGACTCTTATTTTTTCAAACTAAAACATCATGTCCCCTGTATTATCTATATAAGGTGCAAAAATTCCGACTAGCATACATCTAAACAGACATTTGGAGAACTTTGCAGACTCTAAGTATTTTGTGTAAAATGATTGTTTTGGGGTAGAGATTTACATCTTTGACCTTTAAATGGATTATTGAAAGGGAGGAAAGTCTTTGTGGCTGTATACTTTTAAAACATTTTAGGTTGAGGGATTATCATTTTAAAAAATAGTGGAAATATATAAGTGGATATTGGTTTCTGTCATACTTCCTGTGACTTAAATATATTGTTGTCTCAAACATCTACACTAATAAAAGATAAAGATGGAAATTGACAGTACCTTCACGACGCCCACCAGCCAATCAGGGGCGAGTATGCAAATTAACCCAACAAAGATGGTGGGTTAATTTGCTTATGCAGGTGCCGAGCGGCCGGGGGCGGGGCAGGACTCTTGTGTCTTCGCCATGGTGACGACGCAGGCGTTCCGCACCACCCCAGCCGCTCTGGGCCTCTGGGCAGCGTGGGAAGGTGGAAAGGCGGCTCCGGGCCAGAGTGAAGGCTAAAAGGCAGCTCCAACCTGAACGAAGGTGGTGCCGGCAGCCAGGAGAAGGAAGGCCCATTCTTGCACGAATCTTTGTGCATCGGGCCTCTAGTGATAATATAAGTATCATCAAAGGAAACTGTCCCAAATTTATATAAGAAAATGTATTATCCCAAATTAAGAAAACAGTGAAGCCTCAGTGAAGTACAAGGTTGAGGTAAAATGGAGTTCAACCTTAGAACTTAAAGATTCGGCAGATCTGATTTTTAAAAATGTAAAAGGGACATTAGAGATATAATTTGTGAAATGTGACTTTTTGACAGTAGGCTCTGAGAAATGACAAAGGAATGTCTTTGCTGTAAAGCCAAAGAACTTAAAATAGTTGATCATTCCATTAGTATTTCTGTATTCTTATAACTAATTATTTTGTGTTTAGAAGTAATTTGTATTCTGTTTTCTGCTGTCTGGTAAGGGTAATGTCAAGGTTGTCATCAGTAGTTGTGTAAAAATTATATATTTCAGTCTGACCTTTCCTAAGTTAGTGTGTTGCTCTGATGGAGATGGTTGAGATTCTGTGGATGAAAGAAAAATGACTGGCAATAAAAATTATTGTTTCCCTAGGATACGTTATTTAATTTAAACATTTTAGAATTACAGTGTTGGCCTGAGAACAGTTGGCTCAAGCAACATTTTTACTAAATCAACAACTAAGAGCTTAGTGGAGTTTGATGTTCCTAACAAGGGTTTCTTCTCTCTCTATTACTGTTTCTTTCTCTCTAGACCATAGTCAGACATGCTTAGATGAGTATTTTGAGCTCTGTAGAAGCATGGAGAAATGTGATAAAGAAAACTCATTTTTTCCCCTCTTTCTCTTGGTCAGTGTGCTGGAGAAGAGAAACGAATTGGTACACGCACGGTGTTTGTTGGCAATCATCCAGTTTCAGTAGCAGAAGATTACGTTGCACAAAGATTTTGTGATAATAGGATAGTCTCATCTAAGGTAAGTTTTTAAAACTCTCTATATATTCATATAGTGAGCCAGATAATGCACTTATTTTTATTCATGCTTCTATATATACACATTGATGTGTACTTACACAAATCATATATCAACTGTGATAATTATTTCACCAAAAGGCATTATTTTTAAAGCATCACTTCGTCTTGTTATAGCTGAAACATAATTCACTTGCCTTATGATTCATAGTGCCTGTTGATTATACATATTACTTTAAGCCTTAAAGTGTTCTAAAAGTAGGAATTATTTACTTGCCCAAAGCTTCCTGAATTGCCCTTAATTGTATGGGCTAGTTTGTAAATAATTTACATTCTTTTGGAGGGTACTATCCTAGAATGACATCCTTATTTCTTTCTATTTCACTGAGGAGTTTCCCCTGCTCAGTACAATGCTTGAACAGTTAAAAGTTTGATCACTGTAGCTGTGTCACCATTTAAATAATCATCTTACTTCAGCATAGTGTAATGCTAAGGGTAGGGGCCTGGAAGTCTGAAGACCTGAATTTAAATCCTGGCCTGACTATTTTCTAGCTGTGTGACCTTGGCCAATTTTATCTCTTAAGTCTGAATGTTCTCATCAGTGAAACAGACCTGATATTCAATATGTGAAAGTACTCTTTATAGTTCCTTATACCCATAGTCATCTTTCTACAAGTATTAGTTTACTAATCTTTACCTTTGGCTGACCAGATTAGATGCTAGGTGCTAGGTGGTCGGCCCATGGCCATCTCTTATGGCACAGATTTTGATAATTTTCTTCACTGCCTCATGCAACCTGACAAGACATAACTAAAATGTTGGTGACAATTGGTTCACTGCATGTTTGCAAACACCTAGGACCTGAAACACAAAATTATGCCCTTGAAAAATTTAACATTTTAGTTTTCAAATGTACATGTGATTTATCCTTGGGTAGCTAGGAGATTAACATGTAAAATATAGACAGAATGAGTGAAACTGTGTTGTCATATGATCTATTGGCCTTAGAACACTCTGAGTATATTTGCATAAAAGATCTTTCTTGTTAATTTTTATTTTTAGCCAGGAATTTATCTTTTTTTTTAAAATATATTTTATTGATTTTTTACAGAGAGAAAGGGAGAGAGATAGATAGTTAGAAACATCGATGGGAGAGAAACACCGATCAGCTGCCTCCTGCACATCTCCCACTGGGGATGTGCCCGCAACCCAGGTACATGCCCTTGGCCGGAATCGAACCTGGGACCCTTCAGTCCGCAGGCCGACGCTCTATCCACTGAGCCAAACCGGTTTCGGCGGGGAATTTATCTTTAGCCAGTAATTTCCATACGTGTGACTAAAATAGTGAAAAGTCCTTTCACTGAAAATTGTGACTTACCCTGTAGTAGCCAAGAAAACAATAATAATCCTTTGAGTCACAATCATAGACTTGTAGAACTAACTGAAAGAGCCTAAGAGGTCATCTTGTTCAACTCACTGACTTTACAGATGGAGAAATCAAACCCAGAGAAACTGAGCTAATGACATGGTCACCAAGCAGAGTTAGTGATAAAGCCCTTTTCATATCATTGTGCTATTTGAGTTCTTTTCGCAGTTTTATCTCTCCTTTTGCATCAAGTGAAATATAAAATATTTTCTAGGGAATTATTGTTTTCCATAGTGTTTTATGTGGAAGATGGTTAAGTGACTTTTCATTGAACTAGTGATAATCATTTTATTGCAATATACTTTGCATTTTTGCATTTTAAAAGAACTTATAAAACTCAGCTTAATTCTCAACTCTTGTTGTATTTAATAGGATATTTTTCATATTTTATCTAGCTTCAGTTTTGCCAGCAGGGAAAATAATGCAATAGGATATTTTTTAAATATTCAGGAGCTCACAGGGCAAATAAAGATTGAGTCTAAACAGATGTGTTTCTATATTTATGTATATATATATATATATATTTTAGAAACTAGAATAAAGAATTGAATACTTAAGGACACATATATGATAATTTAATCAATAAAGAAATTTTTAAAAAAGAATTGAATACTGATAGACTAACAGATCTCTTTTTATTCTGTAAATATTATGTTTACAGTTTTTCTAGTTAACTGCATATTAACTGATCTTCTTTTTCATAAAAGCTCTAGAGCAGAAAAAGAGGAAATGACAGTATACTAACCTCAGAAAAAGAATGAAATCTTAATAAATTTAATAATTATAAGAGGATACTATACAGTGTATAGTGGTAAAGAGCTGCATCCTTGTAGAAGAAGACCTGGGTTTAACATTAAAATAAGTCATTTAACCTCTCTATGTCTAAATTTTCTTATCTTAAAAATGGGGATATTAACAGGAATTACCTCAAAGGATTATGCTGAGGATGAAATAAAATAATCCATACAAAGCATTCAAGCACTGTGCTTGGCTTGTAGTAACAACTCAATAAATGGTAGCTGCTATTGTTACTTATATTTCTGTGGTTATTGTTATTATGGTCCTGAACAGTACTATTGATTTCCTCAATCTCATGTGTTTTGAATGTATGGAATTATTTCTCTGAAAAGGAGGCCTTTGTATCCATTCTGGAGATAACAACAGCTTCATAATTTGACTTTTTCTTTCTCATATTGTGTTTTTTTAAATATATGTCTTTATTGATTTCAGAGAAGGAAGGGAGAGGGAGAGAGAGAGAAGCATCAATGATAAGGGAGAAACATTAGTTGGCTGCCTCCTGCACGCCCCCTACTGGGGATCGAGCCCGCAACCCGGGCATGTGCCCTTGGCCGGAATCGAACCTGGGACCCTTCAGTCTGTAGGCCAACGCTCAATCCACTGAGTCAAACCAGCTAGGGCAGTGGTCGGCAAACTCATTAGTCAACAGAGCCAAATATCAACAGTACAACGATTGAAATTTCATTTGAGAGCCAAATTTTTTAAACTTAAACTATATAGGCAGGTACATTATTATTAACTTAATTAGGGTACTTCTAAGGCTTAGGAAGAGCCACACTCAAGGGGCCAAAGAGCCGCATGTGGCTCGCGAGCCGCAGTTTGCCGACCACAGAGCTAGGGCATCTCATATTGTGTTTTGGCTGTTTGTATTTACACCAGAATCTTTTAATTGAAGAAATGTACAATTTATAGAATGTGTTAGCTGCTTTAAAACTTCGTAGAAAGTGTTGATTTTCTTTCTCAACCCTTTAGTAATAAAAATAATTTTCTCTTAATTGGGTGCTTTTTGTTTGTTTACAACTGCCATCAGTAATGTTAGTGTAACACTGAAGTGTTGTTAATGTAAGGAGCACTAAATTTAAAAACTTTGACCTACTTAAAATGTTATTTATAAAATTAGTGTTCTTCTCTTCTTTTGGGAACACAGACATTTTAGAGAAATTTGTCCTCTGCAGCCTGCCTCCTTTAATGTACTCTGCAGGGACCTTTGGGAACAACAGAAATTTGTGGTTGGTATGAAACTTGGAAATCACTACCTCTAGCAAAAGAAGAATTGGTTACTTCTGCTAAGATCATTAGATTTCATCATATTTCTCTGTTCCACATTTTTTCCTTTAAAAATCCATGCCGAAACCAGTTTGGTTCAGTGGATAGAGCGTCGGCCTGCGGACTGAAAGGTCCCAGGTTCGATTCCGGTCAAGGGCATGTACCTTGGTTGCTGGCACATCTCCAGTGGGAGATGTGCAGGAGGCAGCTGGTCGGTGTTTCTCTCTCATCGATGTTTCTAACTCTCTATCTCTCTCCCTTCCTCTCTGTAAAAAATCAATAAAATATATTTAAAAAAAAAATCCTGAGCCTCATCTTAAAGGCCCTTCAGTGGGATAAGAATCAGTGAACTTCACCTAACTCTTTGAAGGTAGGCCTAAGGTTAAGCTTAGTATTCTTATGTAAAAAGGATGTCTAGGATTAAAGTTTCAAGCCTAAAATTACACTAGTGTTTACCTTCAGTTTAAAAATAAGCATTGGCCATAGAATTTATTTTATTTTATTTTTTTATTAAATCTTTATTGTTCAGATTACATTTGTTCCTCTTTTTCCCCCCCCCATAACTCCCCTCCTCCCAGTTCCCGCCCCACCCTCCGCCCTCACTCCCCACCCACTGTCCTCATCCATAGGTGCACGATTTTTGTCCAGTCTCTTCCCGCATCTCTCATTCCCCTTCCCCCCCCAAGAATAGTCAGTCCATTCCCTTTCTATGTCCCTGATTCCTTATAATCACCAGTTCATTCTGTACATCAGATTATTTATTCACTTGATTCTTAGATTCACTTGTTGATAGATGCATGTTTGTTGTTCACAATTTGTATCTTTACCTTTTTCTTCTTCCTCTTCTTAAAGGATACCTTTCAGCATTTCGTATAATACTGGTTTAGTGGTGATGAACTCCTTTAGCTTTTCCTTATCTGTGAAGCTCTTTATCTGACCTTCAATTCTGAATGATAGCTTTGCTGGATAAAGTAATCTTGGTTGTAGGTTCTTGGTATTCAGCACTTTGAATATTTCTTGCCATTCCCTTCTGGCCTGCAAAGTTTCTGTTGAGAAATCAGCTGACAGTCGTATGGGTATTCCCTTGTAGGTAATTGAGTCTCTTTCTATTGCTGCTTTTAAGATTCTCTCTTTGTCTTTTGCTCTTGGCATTTTAATTATGATGTGTCTTGGTGTGGTCCTCTTTGGATTGCTTTTGTTTGGGGTTCTCTGCGCTTCTTGGACCTGTAAGTCCATTTCTTTCACCAGGTGGGGGAAGTTTTCTGCCATTATTTCTTCAAATAGGTTTTCAATATCTTGCTCTCTCTCATCTTCTGGCACCCCTATAATTCTGATATTGGTGCGCTTGAAGTTGTCCCAGAGGCTCCTTACACTATCTTCGTATTTTCGGATTCTTTTTTCTTTTTGCTTTTCCGGTTGGGTGTTTTTTGCTTCTTCGCATTTCAAATCTTTGACTTGATTCTTGCGCTCCTCTGGTCTGCTGTTGGGTGTCTGTATAATATTCTTTATTTCAG